ATCATTTAGTACTTCTGTTATGAAGAAAACCCATTGGTGTTTAGAGATGGTTACATCAGACACTTCTTTCTGATCAAGGCAGTCTCATATTCAGGGCAAAAGGCAGTTATAGAATTACAGTTGAATAAGTGTGATGGTCTTGGGTTAGTCAAACTAGAGAAATGACCCTTTTGCAAGTTAAATTTCTCTGAGCATGATTCTTTAAAACGGTAATAGGAGAACTAGAAGAATCACATGCAGTCTATATGCAAAAGCCATCAGTTTTCAGTGGGTGTGAGATTTTTTTTGCTTTTCTTGTGCCAGGCCTCTTTAACATCACCACTTAACATTTTTTTAGAGCAGGAATTACCAAAGACGATAAACTTAATATGTGCAAGTTTTCAGGCTGTAGCGGATATTATGCCTTTTAGGTTGGAAATAAAACAGGCAACCGAGATGCTGCCTCCTGGGCCCACAGCAGTGTTTTTAGTGTTTGGCTTCCCTTGTCCTTAATGACTTTAAGACTTCATAAAAATGAAAATAGAACCTTTTTTTTTTTAAGTGAGGAAACCCTTCCTGTAGGGTCTGCACAGAGGGCTAGTTGTCTAGGGGTAATTATGGAAAGAACTGTGGTTAGCTAGTCTTTGATTCTTTCTTTCCTTTCCCCGACCCTCCAGCCCTCTGTGTAAGGCAGCCAGTCTTATTCCAGCTTACTATGTCAGAAGATCTGTCATGGAAACCTTCCCTCCAGTATCCTTGACTAGATTCAGCAGTGTATGAGACATAAATCTCTGTTAAGTGTTCAGTGGAAGATGAAGCAATGAATGCCGTTTACCTCAAGAGACTTCAGGAAAAGGGCAGACAAGCCTTCTACTCTCAGTGTGTTACAGTTTTAAAAACCTCAGTTCATTGCCACAGCATCCTATTGGGTGTATTCTTAGTTTTCATAACTTGTATTTGTGGAATTAGGCACAGGAGGTAGATGGTTTGCCAATGGTGTTGGGGTGGTATGTGGCAAGGCAGGATTAAAGTCCAGGCATAAGTATCCCAGGCTGCTTTTGAGCTGTTACATATTCTACCCACCCATGTGAATGGACACTCAACTAAAGTGGGCAGTGAGGTGAAATTTTCCACATATATTTTTCAGTTTGACAGCAATAGAAAGCATTGCCTATGAAGAAAATTGACTTTCTGTGGGGATCCAGATGGTGGCCCACTGAGTAGGTTCATATAACTCAGTGATATCAGTTTGCAGTTCATTTGGAGATTTGGATTAAAGAGTTTTCTAAAGATGACTGTTTAGAAAAAAAACAGGAACTGGTATAAGAAAAGATGTTAGCATAAATCTTTAGTGGAACTGGTATAAGAAAAGATGTTAGTGTAAGCCTTTAATTTGTTTATAAGTTCTTCAAGGGACCTGTACATAGCCCAGTCGGAGACGTTCATATAAATTAATACAACCACATTTTTCATACATGAAAATGAATGAGTGTCAGTTGTTTTATTTGGAGTCTGTACCTCCTGCACATCATTATTTAGAAATAGTTCTGGGTGATTTTGCAGAAGAACCAAAGCTTTGTTTAACACAAAAGCTTTGTTCAAGTGAGCTTGTCTCTTGACTTGCTGCAGTATGTCTTTTGCTAAGTGAAACTGTTCATTAAGTCCCATCCTTTCAGTACTCATGAGAAGTGATCATTCATTCTAGTCTTCTAAAATATTAAGAGTCAATCTTACAGGATTAAAAGAAACAATATGAAACCACCTGGGATAATTCCAGGCACTCAAGAAGACCCAATGGGCATCATTTCCCTTCTGTCAGGAATCCCTTTCTAGAAGAATAACTTTGAGGAGGAGTTAAGGACAGTAGCTGCTTATTCACTGACATGGTTAAAAGAGAGAGATACTAAAAACATTTCCATTAAAACACTTTGAATTTCCACAATGAATTCACCATACAGCTCTTGAGTATAATTGATTTTAGCCAGGTGACTGGCATTAATACATGATTCACTGCATAATTTAAAAAATCATCAAAATGCAGTCTGTGAAATTCTCAAAGAACTAATGAAATAGCATATTTAAAATCCTTGATGCTAAAAAGGCATTTTTCTTGTTAAAGAAATGAAGGAAAAAATATCTTTTTTTAAACTCACCTGGTGCAGTTTCATGTCAAAATGTTAGATAAGGAAGCAACGGGTATTGAATTCACATAGAACTGGGATCCAACCTTACCTTTTCTTCTATAGAAGATATATGTAACATTTATCTTACATTGTCAATGAGATATTTCTTGCCTATGTATAGATTTGCCAATTACAGCTAATATGGGTAAAAAAAATAGGTGCCATTTTTTTTAACCTAGTCTCCATTGCAAACTGTCTCAACATTTACACAGACATTGCAATTTTGTGACAAAATACCACTACATGAATTTCCACAGTAAAAAGACACAAAAGACCGACATGAACTCCTCAGGAGTTGTTAAGGGTAGAACGTGGGATTGGCCATGGCACCTCATATATCTTTCTTAGAGAAAAACATTTGTCAGTTAGGTGAAAATGAGAACTCAAGCCTCTAACCATAAAAGCCTACCTGGTAAAGCTGAAACCTGCTGAGCTCTGTGTTGACTTGAAATCAAAATGTTGCTGATGAAATGAACCATGTCCACTTCTAGATTAAGGCACTTGATATACCCTACCAACTTGGTGACTTAAGCATTTGCGATGACTGTGGCGACTTTGCTGCTTTACATGGATTGAAAACATTGAGGGAGGTCATTGAGATGGTTAGGTAGGTGAGCAAGGGTCATCATTGCCAAACCCGATGACAACCTGAGTTCGATGCCCAGGACCCACGCTTTGGGATGAGAGAGCTGACACCTGTAGGCTGTCCTCTGATCTCCATATATGTGTTCTGTAGTACAATGTCTCCTTAACCTATTGCATTTTAAAACTTTTAGAATAAAAACTGGGGAATATGTAATTATTGACTTTAGATCAAGGAAGGCCCTGCTCTACTGGCACCATCTTTGCAGTCATCTGAGGAAAAGTCAATGTTCCTAGGCAAGGCTAAATGCTATTCTTCCTTTGACTCCCTCTACTTTCAATTATGCCACGTTTTGGTTCGCTTCATCTCATAATAATAGCATGTTTGAGCCATTGTATATTTTACCTAGAGCTTTCAACCATATTTTATTTCTGGTGACTATGAGCTAAAACATGTCTTTTTTGGAATTTTACCAATGTGTCTTAGATTCTTGGCTTACATTGTCTATTGGCCGAACTCCAGCCTATAATTTCTCCTTCAGCACGAACAGTTTTATGCATGATCTGATAAGCAGTTGTCGTTTGTGGATTTCCTTTCATTGGATTCCTGTGTTAATGACATCATCTTTCTATACACATCCCTTGATTTTATCATTTGCTGGGTTGAAATACAGCTTCAAGAAACTTCTGAAAAATGAATTCATAGGAAGTAAATACTCTCACAGTTAACTGAATGTTAAATTTTGCTTCAAAAGAAATGTTCCTCAGACTACGAATGCCACTAAAGTGCTTTCAAGTGTTTCTGCTGAGATTTACTTAGTTTTAGGTCATTTGTAAAAGATACCAGTTACATAGACTCTGACATAACTAGCAGGAAGTTTTATTTATACGTGTGTCTCTGGTAGAGGTAATACTTCTGCATACTTATATTAATACATTATTGTTTATTTAAAATTCAAATGATTTTGAGTTCTGTATTTTCTTTTCTTTTTTTTAAAATAATTTATTCATTTTTTTCTCAAATCGTAATTCATTCACACAGGGGTTATAAACACAGAAAGGCAGGACGTGGGGAAGGGAATGACACTGGAGTGTGGGTGTTCAGGGGGAATACAGATATCTTCAGAACCGGGTATCGGCTGGGTGAAGGTTCAGGGACAGGTCACTACGACTCTTCCTATGACTCACTTGTCCTTATCTAAGTTGGTATTGTCTGCCTAGGCTACCTATTTACAAGGTCTATGACTACTTGGGCTGGTAAATTTCCACAAAATCTGCCTGTTTACAATAGCTTATAGCCATCTGTTTCAGTGTTTTTCCACAGAGACCCAAGACTTGGTGTTAGTATACATGTATGACAGGCCTATTGCTGATTTTAGCCCTTCAGTGTGTAATCAGGGCTGCCCCTGACATCTCCTCCCTTCTCTAAATACAGAAGGGCTGTGGCAATTCTAATCATGCGAAGGCGGGGATACAGGCCTGACCTCCAGTAATTGAAGGGGACCTTGTAATGGCTCCAGTCCCCCTGTCGTTGTCCAGTGAGGCATGAGGGCCATATCCATCCCGATGTCTTTCCTGGAGAGGGGATACTTTTGACATCAACCCCTATGCAGTCAGGCTTGTCCCTCAGGGAACCCAGAGACATATATATATAATTTATTTTTTCTCAAATCGTAATTCATTCACACAGGGGTTATAAACACGGAAAGGCAGGATGTGGGGAAGGGAATGACACTGGAGTGTGGATGTTCAGGGGGACATATTTTTAACTTTTACTTATATTCCCTTGCAGTGCTTAGCCTCGCAGCCTAAGCAAGAATTCAGATCGCCAGTCAGAGGGGGTTCTGGGTGGCCCCTCTCTGCTTGGTCTAGGGGCAGAAGTCCCCTATTTTAGGTTGGGTGGAGATGGGTTTGGGGAACACCCTGTATAAAGTAACAACCTCATTTTGAGTCTCGTGGTCCTCCATAGCTAACTTATGATAATGTATCTGAATAGGTTTTGCAACCAAATTATTTATCTGTTGTTTCACAGAGTTAGTCAGCCTATTTGAGGCTCAGGGATCAGCAGAAATAAGCAAAAAGAACCCAAATAATGGTCCCAAGATGGGAGGAAGTAGGGTTGACAACCTTGGAGAGGCTGAAAACCAATTCTTGTACCAGCATTCATCTGTCTCTTTCTCTCTCTGATTTTTCTTAGGGCCTTCACTACCTATTTCATGCTCTCTTTAACACTCCTTGTCTTGTCTATGTAAAGGCAATATTCTTCTTTAAGGGCTGGCTGTACACAGTCAAGAGCTGTACACAGCCTTTTCTATTGTACTAGAGTAAATCAAGTCCAATAAGGATCTTTGCGATTTTAGGAGGTCTCTTCAGACAGCGAAACGAGGGATTTCTTCAGATTAGTGATGTCAGTCTCTAGCTGTTTGATGTTCTTGTCAGTGGCCCTGTATTTTATTTTCTAAATATGACATCTCAATTTAAAGGTCAATATTCTTTTCTTTTCAAATGACATTACAGTCCTTTTCTTTTTATTTCTGTTTTCATATTTTAAATGTGCCTGTAAATTTGCTTTTAAAGAATGTCCATCCTTCCTAAAACTGGTTAGAGCTTATGCTTTTTTTCATCTCTAGAATTTTCTTTCTATTGTTTATTTAATAGTTTTCTTCTTAGAGCTGTAGAACTTTAGAAATTCTAAACTATAAAAATGGTTTGTTTGGGGGCCTTATGGATTAAGGCATTTTTAAAATTTTTGACTTTAAGAATGTTATGAGAATATCATACATGAGTACTGTATTTGAATAGAGACATACTTGTGTATATTGCTTTTAAAGAAGTGAAACACAGGACTGAGCAGCAAGAATGAATGGGAACATTCCCATAAAGCACTCAGAGCTAAGGAATAACACATAGCACCACGTGGTGAAGTTATTTTTCCACTATTTTGATAAGATGGTAAGTCATGCTTATTGAACTAACTATTCAATTGTAAAAATTTGAAGTCAAGGTGGTTTATAGATAAGGTTTTCAAAGATCAGGGTTTAAATAGCTTTCTCAATGTTATGTAGCATGCCAATCTTTAGGCTAGATCTCAAATGCTGATATTTCTGATTTAACACCATTGTTCACACTGGGCATGGCAGGGTAGGTCTTTAATCCCAATACTTGAGAGGCAAAGGCGGGCAGATCTATGTGAGTTTGAACCAAGCCTGGACTACATAGCAAGTTTTAGGGCAGCCAGACTTGCATTGGGAGACTGTCTAAAAGTCAAATCAAATCAATGCCTTTTCTTCTACAACATAAATTCATGGAGTTTTAAGAAATTCACTAGATTGTTAAAAAATGAGCTTGTTACACCCTACAGATTTTAATAACCTTTCATAATATTTTCCTTGCAGTAAAATTGTATGCTTTAACAAGCCAAGTCATTGATGGTGAGATGCAGTTCTATGCCAGAGCCAAACTTTTCTACCAAGAAGTACCGGCCACCGAAGAAGGCATGATGGGAAATTTTATTGAACTATCCAACCCAGATATCCAGGCCTCTCGTGAATTTCTTAGGAAATTTGTTGGGGTGAGTTTTCTGATTGATGCTGGAGGAGAGGGCCCAGACCTTGTAAAGTCTGAGCTCACATGTTCCTGTGCTGTTAAAGGCATGTGACCCAGCCCTGTGGTCAGCCGGAAAGCCTGTTTTAAGATGTTCAGAGAGATGGAGTTCAGCAAACCCTGGGCTTATATCACTTGGCACTGCACTACTATAGTAGCAGCTAATCTAGTTTGCTTGGGGGAAGGTGAGATAGAAGTGCAGACATCACTGTATAAAGATTACAGAGGCATCTCCTTCAGCATCTCAGAGGCAAATAGCTGTCACCAGACTGCCGAGAATTCATGCATGCCTCATGGAATTTCGTATTAATGTATAAAGTTTCTAAACTACAAATTGAATACACTAGGAAAAGCATACATGCTTATGTTCAGTTTAAAAACCAAGGATTATAGAATACCTTTATAATTTTTGTGGACAGTTCAACTTGTTACCTGAAAAAATATGATTATTTTTATTATTCTGGATTGGACTGGGCCTCTTCCTTTTTGTGGAAGAAATTTCCAGGTCATATAGAGACAAGATGGTAGAATGTAGGAGCCAAAATTCTAAGCTTTATAAAGTATCATGGTTCTTCTACCTAATTATAAACACCCCTGGGCATGTCACACACACACACACACACACGCATCCATGGGTAGAGAGTAACAACAGAATCTGCCTGGTGGAGGAAAATGAAGGGCAAAGAAGACTAGAGTTGTTAGGCACTTCTGTTCATAAGATGAGGATAAAATAAATCTAATGTGTCTATTACTAATAATACCATGATGTCTTATCGTGTATTCATCACACACCATGCAACTTTATTGAGTTTTCAAGTTGTCTCAATCCACCACAATAAAGCTGCTGGTGGTCTTACTGAAGAGGAAACTCCTACTTGCAAGCAAAATTTGTTACAATTCAATGCCATGTCCTTGGACTAAAATGTGGATAGTGTTTTATTTTGATGAAGGAAGTACTTTCAATATTTAGCTTTAGAGTCATGCTGTCAACTTTCTCAGAAGGATGGCATGAAGACCATCCATCATGTTGAAGTGAGGTTCTACTCGTTCTAAGCCTCCCTGCTGCACCCTGTATCTGAGTCTGAGTCTGGTGGTCTCATGGTCAGGATGAGATGTCTACCAGACCCATTGTCTATCTGATGTAAGTAACAGCCACAAAGATCTGAAAAGCGGAGAGTTTATGGCATCATGGATGTTTACATGTCAGAGGAATCTGCAATAGTTCTAAACTAGCACCAGTGGTTGATTTCATGGCATGATGATTCTAAGTAGGTGAGTTTGTTAAGCCTTTCAGGGACACCATCTGTTTACTCTTTATAATTCTTAAAGGTAAAGACTAGTGTCAGTTCCTCTTTTATAGTTGTGGAAACTGAGGCTTAAAGGGATGAAAGAAATTCTTAAGATTGCATACACTGAGTATCAGTGCAGCTAGGTTGGTCTTACATCAAATTCTTTGCTCTCAACCACAGTGTATTCCCCACTCTCTTTGTTTCATGAAGCAGAAGAAAATCCCTGGTTTTTGCTGACAGACTATAGACCCCAACCCTCCTCTATTCTACCCTAAGCAGTCCCTTCTGCTTGCCTCATGGCAAGACAGACTTTCATCCCAAGGCACTTCAGAAGCCTGGCTACTAATCCAGCTGTCTTGTCACTCCACGAGAAATGCCAAGCTGACCACAGGTATTCTGGTCAGACAGAGCCCAGAAGCATGCCTTTGGACCTGGGAAAGGAAACATTGTATGCTTGCATATTTATGTTGGAAAAGAGGCAGGCTACTCTGTTCAAACAAATACAAGAGCCCTTCTTAGTAGACAAGGCTCATTGTAAAGCTGTGACCTTGAACTAAGAACAAATAGTCTGCTTAAAGGAATGCTATTTTAGTACTTTGACCTTAATGATCTGCTAAATTAGTATCTAGGTCAAGAAACAGGGAGTTAGGGGGCATGAGTATCTGACATGGTTTATTTGTGTGTCAACTGGGAAAAGGCAGACTGTTTAATTTAAAGCTTTGCTTTCCTTTCAACACTAAGTGACAAGGGACAATGGGAAAAGCTGTTTCATCTAAGTTGCAAATGTATTTGCTTTAGACAATCCACAAATGGCACCAGGATGAAGGCTGCACACCTGATAAATAATAGGATAAAGTTCTACTACATAAGAAGAACTGGGCACTTGGTACATTTGTTTCTTAGATATTTGCCAGAGATTTGGATGCCGAGGATAACGAGATTTGGTTTGCATGGCATTGATTTTATACAGCACTGTGAAGCACATACATTTTATTTGTCAGATTCATTGAATGGTCTTTAGATAATTCTATGCAAAATAAAACAATCAGGCATGTTAAAAACAAAAACCAGCATACGTTAGAGTGCTTTTAAAATTATCTTGTATGAATCCACAGATATGAACGTATTACCAATGAGTGAAGGTGGAAATAAGAGTCATCTTGTTTTGAAATCACACATGGTGCGAGGCTGTATTCACATTTGTCCAGGGCGTCCGATTTCAATTCAGTCACAGCTTCTCCAGTCGTCAAGCCCCAGAGATGAAGGCAGATTCAGAAATCAGTCTCTGCTCAGAGGTGCTGCCTGTGATCGACAGACAGAAAAAGAATAGCAGTGCCAGGTCAGGGGAGGCAGTGCCAACCACCCAGGACAAAGCAGAACAGAGCGACTAGGTGGTGGTCGGAGAGGCTGGAGGTTTGTAGCAGCACCCAGGTGAAAGTAGGATTTGTGTCTGCTTAGTAACAGTTTCAAGGACAGCTGTAACCAAACATCACCTGCCTGAATTGAGGAGACAGAATTGAAGAGGTTGGAAAAAAATTCATCCAGGACATTGACTCCTCAACCTAAGTAGTGATCCCTTGGGGAGTAACACATCAAAAATCCTGTATATCAGGTATTTAGATTATGATTCATAACAGTAGCAAAATTACAGTTATGAAGTGGTAACAAAATAATTTCATGGTTGGAGGTCAGCACAACATGAAGAATTGTATTAAAGAGTCACAGCATTAAGGAATGTTGAGAACCACCCTTCTGGAAGTTTTAGTTTGAACATTTCACTTCAGTTTATTTGTATAAAATGCAGTGGGACTAAATAGCATCCATTTAAAAGCTCTCAGCTTTTGCTCATATCCACTAAGGGTTTCCTTGCAGAGTCGTGGGGAGGCTGAGGGAGCAGAGCCTCTTCCTAACCAGCTTCATATTATCTATTGATAAAACAAATAAAAAGTGTTCAGTGGTTTCAATCTTCAGGTCTCTTAGCTCTGTCGTTCCATGGGTTTACTTCTCTCTCTTTTTTAAAGTTAATTAGTTAATTTATTCATTTTACATACCAATATCAGCCTCTTTCTCCTCTTGCAGCTTCTTCCCCTATTCCTCTCCCCCTTTCTCCACTGAGAAGAGGGAGCCTCCCCCGCCCCATGGGTATCCCTCCTCCTGCATAACAGTAACTGGAGGACTAGGTGCATCCTCTCTCACTGAGGCCAGACAAGGTGCCCTAGTTAGGGGAATGGGATACAAAGGCAGGCAACAAATTCAGGGACAGCTCTTGTTCCAGTTGTTGGAGACTGGCATAAAGACCAAGTTGCATATATTCAGGTATCCTTGGTCTAGTCCATGTTTGCTCTTTGGTTGGTGGTTCAGTCTCTGGGAGTCTCAAAGGATCCAGCCTAGTTGACTCTGTTGGTCTTCCTGTGGAGTCCCTGTCCTCTTGGGGTCCATCAATACATCCCCGAACACTTCCACAAGACTTTCTGAGCCTCATCTAGTGTTTGGCTGTGGGTATCTGTTTTGGTCAGCTGCTTGGTAGAGGCTCTCAGAGGATAGTTATGCTAGGCTCCTGTTTGCAAGCATAACAGAGTATCGTTAATAGCGTCAGGGATTGGGTCTTGCCCATGAGATAGGTCTCAACTGGGCTGGTCATTGGTTGGCCATTCACTCCGTCTTTGCTCTATCTTTGTCTCTGTACATCTTGTAGTCAGGACACATTTTCAGTTGAAGGTTTTGTGAGTGAGCGACTGTCCTTATTCCTATACTTGGAGTCCTGCCTGGCTACAGGAAGTGGCCGCTTCAGGATCCATATCCCTCACTACTAGTAGTTTCAGCTAGAGCCAGCCCTATAGCCACCTTGGAGTCTCCCTCTGTCCCAAGTCTCTGGCATGTCCTAGAGATGCCCCCCCCATTTTCATTCTCTCTCCCTTGTTCTTCTTACGCTTGATCTCTTGACTCTGTTCTTCTCCCCATCCCCTCTCCCAAACAATTCTCTCCCTCCACCCACTTCTGATACCTATGTTACTTTTCCTTCGGAGAAAGAGTCAACCAGCCTTCCTTGGGCCCTTCTTGCTATTAGGGTTCTTTGAGTCTGTGGTTCTACTTCTTAAGTTTCTTGTTACACCAATGAGATCGGCATGACCAATAAAGCTGCTCAGAACCAAACAATGCCAGGAAAAACAGTTTTATTGAGAACCTCCTATTGATCATACCAGCATCTAACTAAAGTCATTGCTGATACTTTTATGATAATCACTCCATATTTTCTCCTTTCGTGATTTTATATAAAAAGATTATGACTTTCACAAGACTTGAAATCAGTTAGTCATACTTACGCTACAATATTTGAACAAGAGAGGAGCCCTAGTGAAGGCGGAGATGGCAAGCATATGGCAGTGTCCTACTGCTTTGCTTCTTAGATTCAAGGCAGAAATCTCTAATCAAGATCTGTCATAGATTTCTTTCCTGCTGAGTCTGAATGAAACCCTTGATCTGTCATAGATTTCTTTCCTGCTGAGTCTGAATGAAACCTTTGAGTGCCTTTGACTATATCATATTAAGGGCCCCTGACAAAGGAATCATAGCGTTGATGGTGATATTCTTACTACAGTCTGGATTTGGCTCAGATGGTTCCCCCCCACATTCTAGTTCTTGCTGTTAGCTATGTAATACTAGAAACTGGAATTTTCTCATCTCCAAAATGGGAATCATCATCATCGTCAATTTACAGAGGGTTTCCTGACTGTTGTAATTATTATGGATATAAAGAACATATGACAGATACTCATTTATTATGTCCCTTGTTCCATTTGAGAAGACATTATAATTGCCCCATTTTGCTCTTGTCATTGCGCCTTTCTGGTGTAAGGGAAGCCCTTTGGATGTACTGGAAGGCAATTCTTTTTTTTTTTTTTTATGTTTCCTTCTACTCATGCTTGCCTTTGATCCATGGCCAACTCTATTTCTCATCCTTAGTTCCTGAGAAATCAAGAGTAGGCTTTCTCCGTAAGATCTTGATTGTTAACTCCAAGTATCCTATTACTGTAATTTCTAGCACGAACCTATTCAGCAGCCATCCCAATCATGACGAACTAATTTAGACCAGCTGAGTCTTTCTTCATAAATCCAAAGCTTTTCCTTAATTGTATAGAAGCAATTTTGAGAATGTTTATATTAGCTAACTCCTCCATATCCACCACCTACCTATCTCCCTTCCTAGTTAATTCAATGCATAGCCTTAAAGTTTTTTTTCCAGTAAACAGTTTCTTGTATAAAAATACAAAAAGAAAAATCCTTCAGCATTAAAGGAGACACAGACTGAAGAAACTACCAGATGTATGTGTTGTGTGTTGCCAGAACTTTATTTACAATACAAGCCTGGCGAGACAGACAGAGAGACAATGACTATTCCTCAAGTGGGGTCTCAAACTTTACCACTCATAGAGAAGGAGTATATGATTCTGAGTGCCTCCAAACCCAGCTCAAAAAAACTAAATTTCAATCATCCCAATAGGAATTTGAATGTTTTCATTAAGTGTGTGTTTAGAGCAATTTTGAAACTCATCAAAACTCACTGATGGGCTCCATCCCACCTCTGCATTTTTCCAAAGTAATAACCTATTGGACACATCCATTTAGCTGCCATGCTCATCAACACCATGTCTTCATAGAGTTTGCTCTCAGTGGCTCATTTCTCAGAGAAACTCACCTTGTACTGGAAGCCAAGAAAATAGTTTGTGATTCTTTTTTAAGGAGCTAAATTTGGCAAAACCAAAGCAGAACTATAAATATTTGGCTTTTGGGGGAAAATAATGGAATGTTCTATATATTGATGTGGTAATAGATACTTATCTATAAACACCTGTACAACGAACACATTGAATCACATACATAAATGAAACATCTTATAAAATTGAGCCAACTAAACTTGTTTTGAAGAAGTAACTGTAATACCTGAGACTCGAGGTGAGTCTCTGTCCTTGAAGTGGTCCACAAGGTATCTTTCTGCAGGGGCCAGGGAGAGCGGGAACTGGCTGCGCCTTGGACTGCGGTTCTGGAATAGGAAGGGTCAGCAAGCACGTCTTGTTGCCTGTTTTCAGCAGTGTTGAACTGGTGGACATGATGGAATCCTTCCTCCTTGAAGCCCAGAGCTACTTGCATGTTAATGAGGACAAAGTTGAAAGTTACCACTGCTACAGCCTGCAGGAGTTCACACCCCACTTAGGGAGATATGATGTCATCTGGATTCAATGGGTCTCAGGTCAGTGTTGCATGGCATTGCCTCTGCATTTCCCCATTTCTTCGTTAGCAAAGGTGACTCTTGGGACTTACAACACTTTTTGTTAGTTCTAGCTGTCATGTGAACTACCAGCAACTATAGGCCCCCAAAGTTCTCTTAACATTGCTGTACAAACCTGGCAATTCTTACCCCTAGGGATAGAGCAAGTGCCTGGGAACAACCCACATCTTTGCAGAAATGTAAACACTTGAAAGTACTGAAAAACTGGGCCCATAAATGGTTTATCCTCATTATTTATTGGTAGAACTAAATGTTCTGAGACTTAAATCCTTAGGAAATGAAACAGCAATGAATGTTCTCTCTCTCTCTCTCTCTCTCTCTCTCTCTCTCTCTCTCTCTCTCTCTCT